GCTCGGGCTATATGCCCAACAATGCGGCATCTCCTCAACAGTCCGGACAAGGAGGCCCATCGATTGGTCAGATCCTTCAAACAGCGTACGGCGCTTACAACAAATATCATCAGCAGGCGCAGCCGAACTCGGGCTATAAGCCCAACAATGCGGCACCCTCTGGACAAGGAGGGGCCGCATCGGCTATTCAGCTCCTTCAAACAGCGTACGGCGTTTACAACAAATATCAGCAGCAGGCGCAGCCGAACTCGGGCTATAAGCCCAACAATGCGGCATCCTCTGGACAAGGAGGGGCCGCATCGGCTATTCAGCTCCTTCAAACAGCGTACGGCGTCTACAACAAGCATCAGCAGCAGCAGCAGCATCAGCACCAACAGCAACAACAACATCACCAGCACCAGCACCAGCAGCACTATCAGCATCATAGCAATCACAGCAACAATAATGGCGACAATTCCGGCGGATCAGGCACCGATGCCTTCGGCTATGGGCTTTATGGCGACCCCTCTCAGATCCAACTCGACGACCAAAATCAGGGGACTACCGACCAGATGACTGATATGTTTAACCAGATGAATCTTGGGGGCGACCCGAATGGCGGAACTGACTACTCATTTGATTTCAATGCTTCTTTCACGGACAACTTCGACTTTGGAGGCATGATGCAGAATTTCTCAGATTTCTCATCCAACGTCGACTTTTCGGGAGGTGGGCTATTCGACGGCTCGGATTCTTATTAATTTTCGGAATTTCATTGGCAACAATCGGTCTTGGGGTGTATCAGTGTTAAAAAAAACTTTTGTACAACATGGTGTCTGTATGGGGACTGCAAGATGTATTGGGAATAATTTGTCTGAGAGCCAGCATGCTATTCAGAGTGACTGGTAATATGTATTACGCCCCAAAAATCATGCAATAGATTGGCTGCGCCAGGATGTCAGCAGGCTGTGTGATCAAAGGGGTCCCAATCACTACTTGCATAGAGCTTTGAGCTCCTTCAGCTTGTCCACATACACAGAAGAGGAAGTAAGGCCGGCCGCCGCATCTCGTCGAACGAAGTCAAGACCATCGACGCTGGCCTCATTCAGCTTCAAGGAAGCATGTCGAAGGCCGAGGGCATACGCCTCGAGATCTTCACGTGCAGTGTCCCTTTGGGGGATGATGGGGACCGGATCCGCACTACCTGAGGGCCGTGGTTGCGGAAATCCGGGTGGGGGAGACATAGCACGCTCTGCATATCCTACAGGAATGCATCTGAGCCCCCAACCGTGTGGCCACACAATTATCTACGCACTCTCACAAAGTTTGGCTCTGCAATGACGGCCAATGGAGCGTACAACGATGAATCTCCGAATTTCTTGCTCCATCATACGAAATCACCTCATGGCTCAGATGATATGAAAACTCGCGAGCAGTGGCTCGGTGGGCGGCGATGATCGTGATTTCATGGTTGTGGTCGATCTCGACTCTTACGTCCACGTATTGGCGCCTCCAATACCGGAACCCTTCGGTGCGGGGGGTATGTCATTGATATCAAGAACGGTGAGAAGAGTATTATCCGCTGCTTTTGCCCGGTCGCCCTCGTACACCTTTATAATGAATCGTGTCTGACCATCGAGACCGTTGCGAACGATTTCGTGCTTTTGGTGGGTATTGTTATATTTCGGGGAATGATTGGCGTAAAAGCTCCGCCAAGGGTTTCAACTCTAGATTCCGGTATCAAGAGAAGTGACTGAAAAGAATATAGGATCTGCTCACCCGATGGCGGTGTTGGCGACCTCCAAGGCTAAGAATTGCTCAGTCGGAGCATCGTCTTGGGGCTCATCAGGGGCTGGTCCACTTAGGATGGATGCACCCAAAGAAGCAAGCTGAGGAGTGTCTTGCAGCTTCTCTGCGTCGCGCCCGAAACCAACCAGATACTTTATCCACCACGGCGGGCATTTTCGACGACCCACCAATCAGAAGAACCTTTAGAATGTCCTTCTTTTCCAACTTGGCCCCTTTTAGAGCTGAGTCAAGGTGTCCGTCATGGAAACAAACAGATCAGTGCATATTGTTTCCAGCTTATTTCTTGAAATGTCCGACTGATAGTCAAAACCCCCAGGTAGTGCGTCGATTTCGACCGATGTGACCAGTTGCGATGAGAGTTCTCGTTTGGCACGCTCGCATGCACTACGCAAACGCCGTAGGGATGGTTGGTCCTGGCGGAGATCTGAAAATGTTCAGCTGAGTGTCCTAAGAACTAACTCCACACCTACCTATCCCAAGTTTCCGATGAATGTCGCCAAGAAGCATATCCAGGAGGCGCAGATCAATCATATCCCCCCCCAATTTCAGGGTTGCCTTTTACACTTTTGAATTCCGCGATTCCTTCCCATATGTTGGCAATGGCTACCTGCAGTGAGCCCGCTCCGAAGTCAACAAGGGTGACGTTGTAGTCGTCTTGGCCTGCGGCCCGATGCTGGAATGCGTATGCGGTGAGAATGGCGCTTGCTTCGTAAGGCAACCGCAGAATATTGAGATTCGCTGCCTTCACTGCACGTTTGAGGGCCTCCCGCTGCGCTGTCCTGTAATATACGGGGATAGTGACGACGGCGTTTGACACTGGCTTTCGCAAGTAGAGCTCGGCGGATCGCTTGAATTCAGCGAAAAGCCTGGTGGCGGCTTCTTCAAGTGACTAGACAGATGCTGAATGAAGGGAAACTGATGCAGGAGCTAATAGACGTGGCTTACTATCAATGGGTCGGGGTGCCATCCCTTTGCTGATACGTCAGCTTGATGAATGGGATATTCCCGTTATCAACAATTTTGTACTGGATTGCAGTGGCGAAACTGGTTGACTAGTGGGTCATTGAACTTTCTCCCAAGGATTGTCTTCAACGACGTCACACTAGAGAAGGCTATCGTCAACAAACAGGTAACGATACGAAATATCCACGACTGACGTGTTAGTTGGGTTCGTAGAGGCAGTATCTTTGGCAGAATCGCCTGCGTCCGATAGATGGAATGAGAAGAGATAACATGGGCGATTGGGAATGGCATACCAACAACAATTTTGCTCAGAGAGTCCCAACTAACAAAGGAGGCTGTCCTGTTATTCCCGTATTCGTTCGGGATGATCTCTAGCGCGATCGATGAGCCCCGTGCGTCTGCCGACGTGACGGTCGATGTAGTCACCTGGTTTGCCGCCTCTGAAAATCGATATCGCGCTAGTTGATGTCCCTAATTAATGGTGGAGGAGGGGTCTATGCTCAGGATGACTTCGGTGAATAATGAGCAGGAACCAACGGACCGAAATCAATACCGATGGACGCCATGGTTCTTCAACGACTGTCTTTCGTCCAACCTAATATTTCAAAAAAAGAACGCCAAACTCGGCAAAACACACGCAATAGGGAAAATGCAACGCGTTGGTGGTGCTTCAGGCCCATGGTACATATGGAGACTGCCGTGTCCGCGCTTACTGTGTTCATTCAATCTACGGCGTTCATCGGTCTCGCTCAAAGAGTAGGAGGGCAACATGCCACTATGGAATCCAGTCAGAACTAAGGTGAGGAAAGGATGACACCTTGTGATCACATTGCGGTCTCAAGATAAATTCAATGCAGGTGCACCTCCGGTGAGCAGTCATTGTGTTGGGCTCGGCGCTCCTTTGCCATTTCGTCCGAGCTGGAAGTGAATGGGGATCGGTCCGCACAGGATGGCAATTCAGCGCCTTCAAACCCTCAAAGAGAAGAAAGAGGCACTAGCTAAGGCAAGTTCATCCCCTGGGTGACGATCAAGGGTGGTCACCTCTAAACCAAGGTTGCTCGAAGGGATATCGCCACGCTCATCGAGCGCAAAAAGCTCGAGACTGCTCGAATTAAAGTGGAAACAATCATCCATGACGATACCTACATCGAACTTTTGGAGGTTCTAGAGTTATATTCAGAAATCTTATTAGCGCGGTTCGGGCTCTTGGAAAATGGCAGGTGAGAGTTGATATGTCCCCGGTCAATTGGGGGGTATTAACGCATACACGGATAGTGGTTTTCGGGAGCCCGATCCAAGCATCAGCGAGGTAATCATTGGGATTGTCCATTCTGCCCATCGGACAGAGATTAAAGGTTTGATGATTCAACGTTATGTTGTAGTCTGCTCCACCTATCACTGAATTTAAGAGCTCCATTTCGTGCGAGAATCGCTCATGACCAGGTTTGGAAGGGATTGGTCGGTTAATGTGATGGAAAACAAAGATTCCTGTGTCTCGACAAGAGTGAGTCTTGCTCATCAAGTGGACAGCAACTGCTCATGGGCTTGTGAAGATTACTGGGAAGCTGAAAACAGAGACACCACCTTCATCACTTGTCGATGCATACCTTGGCACCATTGCTGAAGGGTACGGGCTTCCTTGGACGTTTACGGTGCCGCCGAATGCCGCTCCCGGAGCTGAAGCTTTGTCAGACTTGAACCACGATCAACCTCCGGAAATCGTGTTGGGGGCAGTAGCCCGCAATGACCAGAGCTCATCGGATAAAGGCGACCCTTCCGTGAAACCTGCGCGCCATATCTTGCCGAAAGCTTCTACCACAGCAGGTCCAGAGTCAAACAAGTCTACTACTTTCCCCTCGCCTCCAAAGCAACCTCCCCCCTATTCGAGCAGTGTGAAATCTAACGGACGTGGTGATGACGATGGCGATGACAATGATGATCTCTTGAGGCGGTTCGAAGCTTTGAAGACACGTCATTAGCAATTTCTGCATCTACCCCTCCATTCTGTCATGTAATTCTTGTACAATTAACGATTAGCAATAAGGAGGTTGTGTAGTTAGCATTGGGGACAGACATAGTGATGTCATGAGGGAGCAATTGAATTAATTTCAATCTGGCGCCGACCGGGTCGGGATCCGGGTTAAGCGGTCGGGACTGTGCTTCTTGCTTGCTCTGCACATTATGGACCAGACAATCAGCTCGCTACCCGTTGTTGACCTAGACATATTTTTGAAGGAAATCAACTCCCCTGAAGCCAGGCAGCAAGCACAGAACGTGAGCTCTTTCGCACTCCTTTAGTCCATCTCGGCCGAACTACTTCGTGTTGTTAGACTGCTGATGCGCTGGTACGGTATGGAGCACTTGTAGTGAAGGATTCAAGAGTAACCGAAGCAGACAACGAGCAATTCCTGGATTTGTTGGAGGATTATTTTGCGCAACCTCAGGAGGAATTGAAGTTCGTGCTCTTGTTGTGCAGGAGGAATTGGTTTGTTTACGTTGGTTCCGTTCTCAGGCGAGACGAGCGCCAAGAATATGGGTACCAAGTCGGCGTCACTCTTGAGAACACGGAACGGCCAAAATGTGCTTCGGACGACTCATGCCTCAAAGTCATCGAAAAGCTCGCACCTTCGGAACGTCCACTGGATATTTTAGGGCATAACGCAGACCCCAAATGCCGATTTTTCTGGAAGATGCAAACCTCTCCGCCATACGAGACAAAGTTTCCTTCCCTTAATATGCCCAACGTGGTTCCCCGCCATTTTGCGGATGTTTGGCAAACGAGATTAGAGACTTGGGGAAAAGCCATGAAGCAAGCGTAAGTCGTGACCACACTAACGATGGCGTTCATTATCAATCTTTTGGCAGCGTCGAAGGTGTGGCACAAATGGCAGCTATTGGCTTGGGTCTGGATCAAAACATCTTTACTGACGCGGGAAGATACGGGTGCGAAAATGCACCTGAACAATTTTTTCCACCGTCGTTGAAACAGCCAATGTAGCCCTCATTTATTAGCTCCAACGGCCTCCGATTTGGGTCGCTACGGGGAGAAAGACACCATCCTGGCTGGTTTCCATACAGATTTGAATTTTTTGTGTGTTTTCCATGTTAGACGTTGAATCTGTCTCGACTCTGATACTGAACATCTTTAGAACTATTCATGGTCGGTCCAGGTATCCTGGTCTTCATATTTGGGCGCGCAACACAGGCAATCGAATTGCTGTCAAGGTGGAATCATTTAATTGCAGCATTTCTAGCATCAAATAATCTTTGCCTTAGGTCCCACCAGGGCAGTATTTACTCGTACAGGCTGGGAAGCAGCTGGAGGTGCTTCGTACTCGGGCTCTGTGATCATTGAAGTAGCGGCTCATAAGTTCTTGACAGCACATCACTGGAGGTTTCATCAAAGCTGGCTATCATGAGGTTGTTGTCAACCAAGCAACAATAACGGTGCGATCCAAATGTTCGCATTTTTCTCCGGCCTTGACTCACGGGATGGTGACACTTTCTCACAGGCTGTGGAGCGAACCCGACGGGAACGCTCTGAACGCCCTCTGATACGTATCTCGAGCACTTTCTTCTGGCACCTATCTTCTGATTAGTAAGGGAAAAGTGGCTAATGGCCTGAGTTGAATCTTCTGAACCCGAAACTGCATATTAGTGAACTCGCGCCGATAGAGAGCCTGAAATCCGTTGCAGAATTAGGGGCCAAGGATGAGGAACTCCAGATATATCCACCTATGCTGGTTGGGCAACAAGTCCAGAAGTACGTCCGCTTCCTCGTTTCCTAGGAAATCCGTTCGATCACTGATGGTACAAATCACTCAGCGAGTTGAAGCACATCGCACTATTGGTTCAATAGCCTGGCTTCTTCCCTGGTGTTGACACCTTCCTGGTGACATTCTTTCTATTGGAATAAATTATGCTGTTACACGAATGCGAACAAACATATTACATAAATATACAAGCGAAGGACTCGGAGAGAGGTGAATACTAATAGGCAAACATATAAATTTAGGGATGCTCTCCCATCCACAACTTATGAATGGTAGCCCAATACGTTTTAGGGTCCATTCGCATGTGGTTGACATGAGTGCATTGTTCATTGCGCTTTGCGATGATTGTCTTGACACCAGCCTTCTTGGCGTCTTCGATGTGACTCTCTACGTCTTTCGCAGGTACGAGTTCGTCCAGCGTGGAGTAGAAAAAGACTCTCGGAGCATCTAAAGGGAATAATTTGGGGTCTAGTAGTTGCATGCGCATCTGTTCGAAGTATTGAACCCTAGGGTATTGGTATCCAAACAGGTTAAAGAGTGGTCCGAGAATAATGGCATCGAGGTATGGTAGTTTCACGAGGTAATGGGTGAGTCCAAATGGGATATAGGTGGCTTTGCGGAGCCAAAGATTCTTGATCCGAATAGATAAAGCGAGATACATCACGTTGAAAGAGGGAAGACCAGGGCAAGAGTCGAAGACGAATGATGGACCAGAAGTGGGGGAGGTAGATTCGCATGAGTCGGATGGTGAAAGTCCACAATCTCCGGAAGGAGAGCTGGAAGGGACGTGTTTTTCCAATAATTTTGTCAGTGTTACAAGCTGAAAGCAACCGCTGACGAAGGGAAACCCTTGTCAGTATGAAGTGTGCGAATGTCGCCTCTGCATATGTATCTCACCCGTTGGACATGGAGTGGACTAAAACTCTGGACGACGAGTCCCTGAGACTGTATATCCCGCGTGCGTGAAGTGCATCGACCACAGGCTTGAGGGTACGTCCCTAAAGATCGAAAGGATCTACGCTCTCATGTCGGAAACATGGTTGCAAAACTTACCATTAAGAACTCTGGATACCAGAATGATTTTTGATCGGAACGGACGATAATTTGGTCTGCTCCGGGATATAAGGCATGATAACCCTCAGTATACTTGTAAATATGCTTCAACTCGGCATCCACTAATTCGCGTACCCGGAATTCTGGTGAGCAAAGAGGAGACATAAAGGAATATACGACTAACACCAACTAAACACGAGAATGACCCTGACAAGATCTTTAGATCCCGTGAAGACGTAGAGCGCAATGAGAGACTTACTTTGGGCCTAGGGAAGTGTTCCTAGAAGGGGCTGCGCTGGCTACGGACAGTAGCGCATGCGATCCCATCGGGGTGAAGCGACTTGTTGCTTCTTTTCCAGCATTCATAGTTGGATAGGTACATGATCGAAACATACGCGCGATGTTAAGCACTGTAGCTCGGTGAGCCCCCTTTCCCTGGGTTCAGAATCCCTGAGTTCGAAACAATAGAAAAAAAATGAGGGACAGAGGGTAACGTTCCCCGGAAGCCTGGGAAGAAGTCCCAATAGATTGCCTTGCCTTAATAGTTGCGAGAATACCTTTATTACAGCTAACACGGAAAAAATCTACGCATCTAATTTTAACGCATATATCTGGAGGTCGGCAAACGAAGGGAGATGTCTGAGTGTCGGAAATCGGGAATCGCCGTTGCAACGCGTTACAACGCCATTTCCGTCACAACGCTTGTAACATTCGCTCAAATGTTGCAACGTTTTCAGTGTGTCATAACGTTCCCGACATGCTATAACGTTTCTGGAAGCGTTACCACATCCCAGAGACATTGCAATGCATTCTAACGATTGAGCCAACATCGTAACCCTTGTGCTCAACAGATTGTTGGCACCTTCTTCAATATATGCTCGCGCTTGCAGAATGGTAAACAATTATATGCATTTTGCATGTGGTAGTAGATGAGACATGTACATCTTATGAAGTGAGTTACTAAGAAAAATTGCTGCAATGTCGAACTGCAAATGCCTGTGGCTGTCCAACCTCACTGTCCATGCACAATGCTGGCAACTGGGGGTGCTGAAGTTCATGGCGAACCGGTTTGAACCATGGATGAACCATGAACCAGACCAGCATGTGCCTGAACCATGGTTCGGTTCAGCTCTGGTTCAGGAATGGTTTGGTTTGGGTGCTCCATGATGTTGAGAGTCTGTGAACCAGGTTCGGACTGAACTGCTGAACTGCCAAATGACTGGGCCTCTTGAACTGCTGGGCTGCCAAACCATTCATAAATCAGGTGATGGTATGTCACTTCTGGTTGCCAAGTCCACACCCTGACTCACTATTAGATATGGTGGATTCAGATGATTCCAGAATGGAATCAGAGACTTAGCATGGAAGGACCTTGGCCTCAGCAACTCAGGTGGAGTGCTGTGCCATTGCTGGTTGTCCTGGGGGTCCCTAATTTTGGATCTAGTGAGGGGAAGTCTCTTAGGGGGGAATCAAGTTGATTTTGGACTGAGGCCACAAGTTACTAAGTACATTGTTGAAAGGTTGCTTACTTATTTGGGGACGGTAACGTTCCGTTCCCCCGTTCGCCTCAGGCCTCAGTTAGTCCGTCTAAATATAAGCTTAAATGTGCTGTATATTCAACGGGGTAGAGGTAAAAGGCTACCGGGCCTTTACAACTACTCCGAGGTATATATATGTAATTTACATATCTCGGCACAAATAAATAAAGAAATAAACACATCACTATAATGGGAATTATAGTGATGCAACATAATATAAATATCACTATAATCGGAATTATAGTGAAGTAAGGTTAATCCCTTACAATTGTATATACATAAAGGAGGGGTCCGGAATCAAAAGGAACAAGGGTAGTCTGGAAGTAGACAAAGGGAGCTGGAAGGGGGAACAACACTGAGGGTCAAGGGTTTGACTCAATGGTGTTTCCCAAAGGAGGAGTGAAGGGCCAATGTAAGGGGTTGGTGTAGGTTCCAACCCCAGTTCTCCTCAATCCTCAGGTCATCGATAAAGTTGAGCTGTATGGAGCTTTAATTATCAATGATGGGGAGGAAAAGGAGTTCTGTTCCTTTTCCCAAATTCCCACATTATTGTATATACACTGTTTATACATGTTTATTATGAGACACATATAGAATGAAGATAGGAATTAAGGGGTGGGGTTACCACTCCTTACAGCCAAGGCCCAAGGAGGAAGGAAGGAGGAAGGGAGTGGGGAATGGCTAGCTGACTGAATAGAAAGAAGCAGCAGCCCAAATAGGAATGAGGGAGAATAGTGGAATTGAATGGGACAA